CATCACCTGAGGTCAGGAGATCAAGACCACCCTGACCAACATGGTGAAACCCCATCTCTACTAAACTACAAAAATTAGCTGGGCTTTGTGGCACACCTGTAATCCCTGCTACAGGGGAGGCTGAGGCAAGAGAATTGCTTGAACCCGGGAGGCAGAGGCTGTGGTGAGCCGAGACTGCGCCATTGCACTCCAGCCTGGGCAACAAGAGCAAAACTCCATCTCAAAAAAAAAAAAAAAAAAAAGATACAGATAGATGGATACATCAATAGATAATATATATGCACAGAGACACATAAATATATCTTAATAATATATCATAGAATAATGATATAATATTTATGAATGTGTTTTTAAATGTTAATAAGTTAACACTTATTGAACTGTGAACTAAGTACTGTTTTAAATATTTTTCATAAAGTGACTAATTTAACTCTCACAAAATTGCTGTCAGGGGCCAGGTGTGGTGGCTTGCATCTATAATCCCAGCACTTTGGGAGGCCAAGGCAGCCAGATCATTTGAGCCCAGGAGTTTGAGACCAGCTTGGGCAACAGGGTAAAACCCTGTCTCTATAAAAATTACAAAAAATTATCTGGGTGTGGTAGTGTGTACCTGTAGTCCCAGCTACTTGGGAGGCTGAAGTGGGAGGATCACTTGAGCCCAGAAGATTGAGGCTTCAGTGAGCCGTGATCACACGAGTGAGACCCTGTCTCAAAAATAAATAAATAAATAAATAAATAAACAAACAAATAAATAAACAAATAAATAAAAATTCTATGAAGATGGTACTAGTGTTAACTCCATTTCCCCAAGGTGAAAACGGAGGCACAGAGTGATTAAATAACTGATCCATAGTCACAAAATCAGGAAATGGCAGAGTCAGGATTCAAATCCAAGCAGTCTGGTTCCAGATACAGCGTTTCTAAACACACTATCCAAGGATTATTTTCAAATAGGAACCCTTAAAGAAGAAGCATCCCAGAAGAAGAAATTCTAATGGGAGTACAGGATCGAATGCTCTCAACTATTTTGTCGAGGTATTGGAGATGAGAGTCGAATGTAGGGGTGAGAAAGATGTAGCATAAAAGTTCCAAAGGTCAGCCAGGCGCGGTGACTCACGCCTGTAATCTCAGCACTTTGGGAGGCTGAGGCGGGTAGATCACGAGGTCAAGAGATAGAGACCATCCTGGCTAACACGATGAAACCCTGTCTCTACTGAAAATACAAAAAATTGGCCAGGTGTGGTCGGGGCGCCTGTAGAGCCTGGGAGGCGGAGGTTGCCATGAGCTGAGATTCCGCCACTGCACTCTAGCCTGAGAGACAGAGAGAGACTCCGTCTCAAAAAAAAAAAGTTCCAAAGGCCTCGTTTGCTGGGAGGGAAGGTGGAAGAACGAGGAAATGTATTCTGACGGAGGGAGAAAGCAGGAAGCTTAAAGGACATCTGGATTACGGAAATAATTGGAATCTTGTTTTCAAAAATCATAAAGAAATGTCTATGTAATTATGAGAGACAAGAAGGGAACACAGAATGGAAAAATATAGTAATTATCAAGGGAAAAGAAACCAATTGAACTTGATCAAACCTACCAAACAAAGGGAAAAAGAAAATAGCATATAAAAATGTATAAAATAAGTAGCAAATATAAAGATATATGAAAAAATCTAATATAATACATCAATCATTAAACTACAAAGCAGAGACTGGGTTTAAAAAAAAATCCTAGGTTAATACTAATTGCAAGGAAGACACATAAAACAAAATGATAAAGAAAAATTTGCTGCTATAAGGATTGAAGAGTGCATGTAATTTCAATCCTTCCAAAAACTATAATGAAAGATTTTTTTATGTTATTTTATTTTATTTTATTTTTTTGAGACACAGTCTTGCTCTGTCACCAGGTTGGAGTGCAGTGGTGTGATCTCAGCTCACTGCAACCTCTGCCTCATGGGTTCAAGTGATTCCCCTGCCTCAGCCTCCCGAGTAGCTGGGACTACAGGCGCCTGCCACCACGCCTGGCTAATTTTTTGTATTTTAGTAGAGATGGGGTTTCACCATGTTGGCCAGGATGGTCTCAATCTCCTGACCTCAGGTGATCCTCCCGCCTCGGCCTCCCAAAGTGCTAGGATTACAGGTGTGAGCCACCGCACCAGACCTAACAAAAGATTTTGCAATGAAAGAAGACAGAGCTTTAAGGACATGGAGAATTGGAGAGGAGGCAACACAAAGTCGGGGTCTGGAAAGCAGGCATAAGAATGAGAGCTGGCTTAGCACATCAGAGGGTTTAAGTCATCCATGGGAAAGGTGAAGAATCAGCTTGATTTGCAACACAGTATTCTCCAAAAGCGCAGGAATGGGAGGCACTAGGTACCTCTGGAAGTGGGGGCAAAGTGACAAACGAAAATAAGGATGGGTTGAAATCTGTGTAAGACACAGTCAGACTCTTCAATCCCTTTCTACTCCACACTCCTTTCCTCACCCCAGAGTTAGGCTTTATTCTTTGGGGAAGGGGGAAGAAAGGCTGTCTCCCTACACCAGCCTGGACTTAAATGGGATTAAGTGAAAACACGTAGATTTCCAGTCCTTCTCAACATCCACAGTTCGAACAGTCAAGCTCTTACCCTCCAGGCAAGAGACTGAAGACTCTTCTCAGGGGACTTGGACAAGAAGATAGATCTAAACATGTGGATGTGGTGCGGTGGGAAGGGGGACAGTGGAGGGGTAGGGAATAGAGCTCCTCACAAATCCGAACAGTGGGGTCACTCTGCACTCCACAAACCCACCTAACACACCCAGAACACCAGCCAGCCTCTTAGCTCCCCACTCTCAAATAAGAACAGACAACTAAGATGACGAGACATCCAAGGAACGTTTTTTGTTTGTGTTTTGCTTTTTTTGTTGGTTTGTTTTGTTTTTGTTTTTGTTTTGAGAAGGAGCCTCACTCTGTCCTTCAGGCTGGAGTGCAGTGGTGTGGTCTCAGCTCACTGCAACCTCCAACTTCTGGGTTCAAGCGATTCCCCTGCCTCAGCCTCCCGAGTAGCTGGGACTACAGGCGCCCGCCACCACGCCCGGCTAAGTTTTTGTATTTTTAGTAGAGACAGGGTCTCACCATGTTAGCCAGGATGGTCTGGATCTCTTGGTCTCATGATCTGCCCGCCTCGGCCTCTCAAAGTGCTGGGATTACAGCCGTGAGCCACCGTGCCCAGCCCCCAAGGAACGTTTCTCACATGGAAGATAGGGACCAAAAACAGCAATTAGAGAGATTGCTGAGAGTAAGAGAACTCTTTTTAAAATACATACATTGAGATTTAAGATATTGCATCCATGAAATAAGAATAGAATAGCATTTTTAAAAGAAACATTCAGAGAACAAAAAGAAGTTCTTCACAATTAAGAACATGAAAGCAGAAACTAAAACTTCAATAGAAGGGGTGGGACATGAAGTTTAGGAGCTACTAGCAAATAGAACAAAAAGGTACAGAGATGGCCGAGCGTGGTGGCTCATGCCTATAATCCCAGCACTCTGGGAGACTGAGGGGGAGTGGATCATTTGAGGTCAGGAGTTTGAGACCAGCCTGGCCAACATGGCAAAATTCCATCTGTACTAAAAATACAAGAATTAGCTGGGCCTAGGGGCACACACCTGTAATCCCAGCTACTGGGGAGACTGAGGCAAGAGGATCACTTGAACTGGGGAGGTGGAGGTTGCAGTGAGCCGAGATCATGCCACTGCACTGCAGCCTGGGCAACAGAGACCTTGTCTCAAAAAAAAAAAAAAAAAAAAGATACAGAGATAAAAAATGGAGCAACAGGATGATAAGAACTTTAGACCATTAGTCCCCCAAGCATCTGAATATAGAAATTCCAGAAAGTGAAAAAGTAGATGTACCTCAAAGTTAATGACTTTAGTCAAAATTGTAATTGATGTGAGTGATGGAGGAATATAGTGGCAAAGAAATATGAATATATGTTATGATAGTGGATGTGTTTTTTATTTATGGAAAATAGATTAATTTCGTGTTTAAAGTAAAATGGCTGGTTGCTGTAAGATGTAATGGAAGATAGTAAAAGAAAAAACTTGAATGGTTAAAAGTTATACAAGGCTTGAAGTAAAAATATGCTCAAATTTACTAATAGTCAAAGAAATGCAAGTAAGTACACAATATCATATCACTTTATACAGCATTGTACTCATAACCTTCTAAAGATAGATAGCATCTCTTGTTGGCGGGTTTGCAGGAGAAACTTACTACACATTGCTAGATTGCTAGATTAATGTCTTCTTGGAGAACAATCGGACAATAATAGAAGACAAATTTGACATACCTTTTGACCCAAAAATCCCACTCCTGGGAGTCTACACTATTTAAAAAGAAGAAGAAGAAGAAGAAGAACATAAGATATAAGTAAAAGATAATTTGTTAGACCATTTTATAATTTTGCCTAGGGTCAGCTCGAGATATAACTGTTTGTATAAGGTTTGTATAAGGTTGCAGTGAGCCAAGATCATGCAGAGAACCCTAAATGCGGAATAATCATCACTTATAGACAATCATTACTATATCAGCTCTGTGACAGGGGGAATAATGTGCTATTTACATTAAATGTGCAGTTTATAAATCAAAAAATGGATTTCAGTAGAGTAAAATACTTATGGAATTGCTAGTCAAAAGTTATTCCTGTATCTATGTCAACAACTCTTAACAAAGACAATTGAATGCTGAGATGGGGGTTTTGCCAGAAGTTTCACACTTAGTGAAATACTTAACACTTCCTGGCTGAGCATTTTTTAAAGCTCTCTCTGATTTCAAGGAGTTGATCTATTTTTCCACTACTAATGAAAATCAAATTAATTACTAGAAGCAATAGTGATCATGGCATTAATTAAATGGGCATAAAAATAAGCATTACCCACATATGCACTATCTGGTTGTACATACGGAATTTCTTCTTCCTTGGAGCTCATAGCACTTAACACTTACCCATCCTGCCCTGTGTCCATACCTGCAGTCCACACTGGTGGAAAGGGCATTAGGGAAGAGGAAGAAACAAGCATCTCCACTCAGGCCCAGATGGTCTTCATAATTTGGAAATGAAATGATGAATGAGGTTTCTCTGATAGGATCCAGGAAGGTTAAGAATGTCAACCTAGTGGGAAGATAATTCTGCAATGAGGAAAGGGAAGTGCATAGACTCTTTGGAGCTACTTTTCTAGAATCAGAACATTACTTGGGTCCAGCCGACATTGAATTTGGATTCAAGTTGACCTTCGAGGCTATAACCAAAGCATGCATGCATTTCTCAGTTTGACTAATTTTCACACCGTTGGAGTTGACTGAACACTGCAAAATTATTTTTGACTGTTTCATTTGACCTCCTAAACATTCTACAGTTTATTCTACTGAGGCAGTGAGATGAATAACACCACCACCAATACTTATGTTTTCCTTTACAGTTTGCAAAACATCTTCTCATACTTCATCTCATTGGAACTCCCAACAGCGCTTTGAGATGGCACCAACAAGACAGGGATTATCATGATGCTAATTTGACAAATGAGGACACTGGGGCTCAGAGAGGGGAGTGGTTTGTCCAAGCATACCCAATGTTGTAAGGTATACTGCAATTTAAATTCAGTTCCTCTAAGGTTACATTCAGTACTGGTATAAGCACAGGGAAATGTGTATTTTTTATATGCTACTGGTGGGAGTGCCACTGGTATAATGTTTCTGGAGGACAATTTGGCAGTAGGTATCAAAAGCCTTTTAGTCAGCTTAGGCTGCCACAAGAAAATACTATAGATTAGAGGGCTTAAACAACAGGAATTTATTTATTTCTCACAGTTCTAGGCTGGGAAGTCCAAGATCACGGTGCTAGCTGATTCCATTCCTGGTGAGGGCTCTCTTCGTAGCTTGCAGACAACCACCTTCTTGCTATGTCCTCACATGACCTCTTTTTTGTGTGCGCATGGAGATGGGGTTATCTGGTATCTCTTCTTACAAGGACACTAATCCTATCTGATCAGGACCCCACTCTTACAGCTTTATTTAATTAGGTCTTAAAGACCTTGTCTCAAAATACAGTTACAATGAGGGTAAGAACTTCAACATGTGAATTCTGGGGGGGAGGCAGACATTTAATCAATAACAACATGCATACTCTTTAAGCTTGTAGTTTCTCTCCTAAGAAATTAACTCAATAAAATAATCCCATTTATCAAAATATATGTAAACAAGTATGTTCCTTGCAATGTTTTTGGGCAAAATACTTTACATTTCTGAACTTCAGTTTATTCATATACAAAAAGAGAGATAACAGGAATATATATTGCATAGAGTTGTCATGAATATTATGAAGTTGCAGCACAATGCCTAGCAAACAATAATTTCCATATCAGTTATTTTCACTAACCGTTAATAGAATACTCAACAACAATAGTTTAACCAATGGACATTTGTCCTCTCACATAACAAGAAGTCCAGAGACAGGATTGATTAATGTAGCAGTTCAATAAAGTCAACATTTTGTTTTAGTGTCCCTATTTTTTCATAACTTTGTTTGCTCATGGTCTCAACGTGGCTGCTGCAGCTCCAGGTATCACATCCCCACGTGACAACTTCCAAAGGCAGGTGGGGGTGGCGAGGGAAGAAAATCTTTCCCAGAAGCTCTCATTAGACTTCCCTATAACTAGGGCACAGGCCTACCCTAAATCATTACAGGAAGAAATAGGATTATCATGATTCACTTACACCACTTTTCCTACCGAAACAAAATAAGAACACAAAAGGGAAATCACTCTTGGGTGGGCTGCCAGCAGTCTCCATACTGTCGCTTTCTGTTCCTGAGAGTTCATCCTCCATCTTAGATCAATTTTCTTTATAAGTCTGACTTTTTTTTTCTTTCTTTCTTTCTTTTAGATGGAGTCTCGCTTTGTCACCCAGGCTAGAGTGCAGCGGCGAGATCTTGGCTCACTGCAACCTTCGCCTCCTGGGTTCAGGCAATTCTCTGCCTCAGCCTCCCGAGTAGCTGGGACTACAGGCGTCCGCTACCATGCCTGGCTAATTTTTGTATTTTTAGTAGAGACAGGGATTCACCGTCTTGGCCAGGTTGGTCTTGAACTCCTGACCTCATGATCCACCCGCCTTGGCCTCCCAAAGTTCTGAGATTACAGGCGTGAGCCACGGCACCTGGCCTAAGTCAGACTTTAATACACCCCAGGCTTTGAATGCCAGCCATCTTTCTTCTCTTAGCAGTCAGCCCTAAAGCTCTACACAGGCCTGCCTTCTTTCTTCCCCAACAAAAGAATTGGACAGAATTGCAGCTTGGACAGAATTGGACAAAGCTATCAGGGCAAGATCCTGTGCTTAAAGGACTGGCAGAATAGACGAGTTTTCATGATGGAGCTCGGGGTGGAGAGCAGGGCAGAGGTCTGCTCCAACAGCTTGGCCACATGATGCTCTGTGCTCAGAACCACAACAAGGCAGAAACTAGTCTGAGACACAGAGATAAAGCCCACTGCTCAGAGCTGGGACATCAGGCCAGAGAGGGACTAGTGGCAGCAGTGACTCAATTCTAAACCTTGCAATAGTGAACTCATGTCTGATCTTTAAAACTCTCCGCCCAGAGGTCATGTTCCCGAGCTGCCACACGTGGTTGTACAGATTGTGATCAGTGCAAGGGCCCCAGACTGAGAGAAGTGGATGGGGATAAAACCCAGCTCAGCAATGCTCTCCAAGCCATATCCCCATTAGTGGATTCCATCTTCCTAAAGAAGTAGGTGCCTCTTTCTTCAGAAGTGCTGCCTTTTTTGGGCAGATCACCTGAGGTCAGGGGTTCGAGACCAGCCCGGTCAACATGTGAAATTCTGTCTCTACTAAAAATACAAAATTAGCCGGGTGTGGTGGTGCATGCCTGTAGTCCCAGCTACTCCAGAGGCTGAGGCAGAATAGCTTGAACCCGGGAGGCAGAGGTTGTGATGAGCTGAGATCATGCTGCTGCACTCCAGCCTAGGCAATAGAGCAACACTCCGTCTCAAAAAAAAAAAAAAGTGCTGTTTTCTTAGTACTCTCAAAGGAGCCTTATCCTTACCATGCCCTGGACCACACAGGAGATGTCTTTTCCTGATTCGTGTGGAAATTCCATATAGGTTACTTATACCCCAGTCTGGCTTGATCTTAGAGCCTGGGGATTAGTGTGAGCCTACAGATGAGAAGACACGGAGGTTCATAGGGTCTCAATTTTGCAAAGAAAAGGCCAGGAACCACGCAAGACCTGGCCAGGGCTTAATTTTGTAGAGCTACCTTCAGCAACATTTTAAGAAAAAGAATTCATAAGGAGTAGAACTTTTTTCTGTCTCCCTCTATGTAGCCCTCTTCCAACAGTCAGAGTACAGGACCACATGCATTTTTTTCTATCCAAGCAGCAACTCCAGACAGGACCCACCTTAGTCCCATGCAATGTGGGGAGGAGATTTAAAATGCTCTTGAATGTCACTGTCCCTCCTCCCCCACTGGCCCTTCCACACAGAGCTTCTAGGATGAGATTTATGAAAAGACCGTTTCTCTGAAGAAACTGCTTATAAGCTCTTCTCCATATGGTTTCATGGCCCTGTGCCTCTATCTGGTATGTTTTTTCCTACTGCCTAGAATCTCTTGCCCCCATCCCACTTCTCTAGATAAATAATTACACACACCTTCCTCAAGGATCCCATAGCTCTTGAATGTCCTTTAGATCGTTAATCACACAGTACTAGGATTATTCCTTTATAGGTATAACTGGATAACTAAGCAGAAAGCTCCTCCCCGAGGCCAAAGACCTCATTCTTATCATCTTGGTTTTCAGTTCAGAGCTCGAGAGGCTCAGGGGAATGAGGAACAGGAGGAAGGCAGGGCAGAATCAGATCTGTTGAAGGTTAATCATCAGCATGGCATGCGAAAGGGGAGGAAGAGAATGAACGATCACCTGCAGGAGGACTGAGAAAGATCAGAGAGCAAGGTCTTCCTTCAATATAGCATTTCCCAGGGCAAGCTCCACTTCCAGTGATGGGGTCATTGTAGATGGAAAGCAAAAAATGAGAAACTGCCCAGAAAATGATCGGTGATCAGTGATTCGGTCCCTCCACTAACTCAGAGCTGGATTCTTGGGTGGAAATCAGATAGTTCCTGTCATTTGAATGTTAGGGGGCTTCCAATGAGACTTTCTTCCCTTCTTAAGAAACTCTTACCCGTGGCTTATCTCCAGTTCCCTATGCATGGTTCTTCAATAATTAGAACCCTGCGTTTCTCCAGGAGAGCTGGAGATTCATGAAAAACTATCAAATGGATCTGGTGGGGACAAAGCTGGCCTGTGCGTCCAGAGTCTTAGGCCAAGGCATGAAAAGACCGCAGGAAGGATACCATTTCGAAAAGAGGGTACATGTAGAAAGAGAATCCACCTCAGCTAATGAGGATTAGCCGAAGGACACGCTGCGGTTCATAGCAAGCGCACTTTTGGGGTGATGCTTCCTGGAGTGCTGTAACTGGAGACAACCGCACACACATTCTGCCGTTCAGGCAGGTCAGCAAACACGCAGCCTTTCCTGTGTGTGATTCCAAATACTCCAGCTCAGGACAGTGTCAGGTTTCTATGGAGGACTTTTCTAATCCAGACAAGCTTTCCCGGCTTCGGCAAAAGAGGTTCTCAAATTCACGGCATGTGCGTAAGGCTGGTTAGCGCAGAATTGAAAACAGCAAAGCTTGCCTCCACGTGGAGGATTTGCTTATTGTTCTGTCCACCATGCAACTGGAAATGAAACAACTACTGCAGGCATCACCAACTCAGGCCACGAACTATGGGATGAGAAGTCAACTCTTTTCAAGGTAGGGAAAGTGATTTTTTTCCTGCAGAGACAGCAGTAGTTCACATGTAAACCACAGCTCTTGCTGAGAGGAGAAATGGAGAATAGTTTTGAAATGAGAACAGAAAAAAACCCTGAGAAAAAAAAAATGTCTGTTGTTTTTAGAGGGTTGTCTGTGCTGGTGCTGATGCTGCTGGGACCAAGGACCACCCTTTGAGCAGCAGAGCCTCATAGGACACAAGGCCTGATACTGATTTGCAAAAACCCAACCAAACAAAAAACACACAAACTACAACAAAACAAATATGTATCA